GTTTGGGTAATTTCTATTGACATAACTTCAAAGCAATTGATTATTTTCTCCACTGCATTTATATTGTCAAGATTATTAATGAGCCTAAAGAAAGAGCTGTTCATCTCTGACACAGTATTTTTTTTTTTTTTTTTTTTTAGATAGGATTTTGCTCTGTTGCCCAGGCTGGAGTGTAGTGGTGCGATCTCAGCTCACTGCAACTTTGACCTCCTGGGCTTAAGCCATTCTCCCACCTCAGCCTCCCGAATAGCTGGGACTACAGGTGTAGGTCACCACACCTCACTAATGTTTTTATTGCTTATAGAGGCAGAGTCTCTTCACTGTGTTATCTTGCTTGGTCTCCCACTCCTGGGCTCAAGTGATTTTCTTGCCTTGGTCTCCCAAAGTGCTGGGATCACAGGCTTCAGCCATGGTGCCTGGCCTGATACTGAGTATCTTATTTTTAGCATTTCTATAAAGGCTATCATTTTTTGTATTTCAGAAAGTCAATCTCTTCCATCTTTCTTTTGAAATCCTACCCCCACCCACACCATCTCTTCACATCTGTTGTCCTTTTTTTTTTCATGAGATCTTTTAACATATTACTCCTGGCCATTTTAAAGTCTCTCTCTTAGTTATAACATGGAGGTCAGCTCTGAGTCTGGTTCTGTTGATTATTTTGTATCTTGACAGGGGGTTGTTGTCATCGTTTTCTTCTTTTGATTCAACTTACAATTTTTCATTGATGGACAAACATCTTGTATAGAACAGGAGAGATTTAGATAAATTGTATTTGTGACTAGAACTGGACACACATCTTCTCAGGCAGTTAGCTTGGTGGATTGAGTTAATCTAGTTAAAAGATGAACTGCGGCCGGGCGCGGTGGCTCAAGCCTGTAATCCCAGCAATTTGGGAGGCCGAGGCGGGTGGATCACGAGGTCAAGAGATCGAGACCATCCTGGTCAGCACGGTGAAACCCCGTCTCTACTAAAAATACAAAAAATTAGCTGGGCATGGTGGTGCGTGCCTGTAATCCCAGCTACTCAGGAGGCTGAGGCAGGAGAATTGCCTGAACCCAGGAGGCGGAGGTTGCGGTGAGCCGAGATCGGGCCATTGCACTCCAGCCTGGGTAACATGAGTGAAACTCCGTCTCAAAAAAAAAAAAAAAAAAAAAAAGGTGAACTGGATTTAGGCTTTGTAACTGCCAAGGTTACTTTTGGTATAGCATAGGCTTCAAATTCCTTTTGTGATGCCTTATGCTTGGGGTGGCATCTGGAGTGCCGGGGATTTCCCTTTGTGTGCCCCACCCTCAGCTCTCATCCCTCTGTATACCACACAGGTGCCACAGAGGTCATCTCTGTGTGTTCATGCCCTCTGCCAGTGGTGAACCACTTAGTTACTTGGTGCTTTTGCTAGGGTAATGGTGAGGGGACAGGGTGCTTCTCTGTTGCCCTCTTCATCTTCTGTCTTTGGTGGGTTTATATGCCTGGGCCCTGGGATTGAGTATTTCCATCCTACTCCTTATGCCAGGCTGCCAAATTCTGCTTTGAATTTTTGGCAGGTCTTGGGTGGGAAAGATTTTTTGTGCTCCTCCTTCAGTTTCAGGAGACCTCTAAAAGTACTGGCTTAGCACTCTGGGCTCACAATTGCTCCTCGTCCCTCCCCCGGACTAGGGTCCTCCCCCGTCTTCCCTTGGTGACACCTGTACTTGGGGAGCGACAGTCTTTGCCACTCCACCCCAGGGTCTTAAGGCTTTCGAGAGAGGAGCATGGGCAGCTGGGGCCTTTTCTGTAATGGTAGCCAGTACGGTCCTTGATGCCCACAGTACTGAGGGGTCTTTTTAGTCTCCCACTTGGCCCCCAGGATTTCCTGTGAACACCTGGTAGAGGTCATGGAAAGAAGCTTCTGGGTTAGGAAAGCCCCCCTTGCTTCTGTGACACCCAGAGGCTCCTTAAAGTCACTGTGGTCTGCACCAGGCCTTTAGCAATTTATGAAGAATGTAGCTGCTTTCTTCTTGCATGTCTGTATGATGGCCCAAGGACCTCCCACACTCTGGCACCGATGAGACACTCCACCCATCTGGTCTCTGCTCATGAGGAATTGTATCTCCTCGAATTTAAGGCTACTTAGCTTACTTGCAACCTCAGCTCAGCTCTTAGGTTCAACTTTTTGGTTTAAGAAAAGTGATTTTGCAGTTTGTCTGGATTTTTTGTATTGTCAGAGAGAGAGCAATGAACTTTCCAGCTTATTTTTATTTTTTATTCTTAGAGACAGGGTCTGGCTCTGTTGCCCAGGCTGGAGTGCAGTGGCACAATTATGGCTCACTGTAGCCTTGAAGTCCTGGGCTCTAGAGATCTTCCTGCCTCAGCCTCCCAAGTAGCTGGGCACGTGATACCACACCTGGCAAATTTTTAATTTTTGTTTTGTTTTGTTTTTTGTAGACATGGGGTCTCGCTATGTGGCCCAGGCTGGTCTTAAACTCCTGGCCTCAAGAAATCCTCCCACCTTACCCTCCCAAAGCATTGAGATCACAGGTTTGAGTCACCATACTATGCTCTTACTAGCTTTTACATCCCAAGTTAAAGTGAAACTTACCACATGCTCTTTTGTATCACATTCCTCGACCTCTTTCTTTCTTTCTCTTCTTTCTTTCTTTCTTTCTTTCTTTCTTTCTTTCTTTCTTTCTTTCTTTCTTTCTTTCTTTCTTTCCTTCTTTCTTTCTTTCTTTCTTTCTTTC